GGTCATGACTCAGCAGAGAAAGAGTTTAAACTAGTGAGTGGTGATGCATATCTTCAATAGAGGAGAGGACATTTGATACCTTGTTTCGCACCATCCAGACTCACAGGACAGTTTGTGTAGATAGACAGGTGGATCCCAACATACAAAATTTCTGCTTTGAGGTGAGATGCACGAAGTTTATCCTTTAAATTGTTTTGAAGTCCCAAGTAACTCAGTCTGAGTTTTGTTTTTCTCACACACTTGTATATGCTATAAACATCTTGCCAAAAGAAACATAAAATGAGTTCCTCTACAGTGTTTCCTGAGCATTTCAAGAACATTATGAGGGGGAGAAAGAGGAAAAAGAGAAAGGGGAGGAAGAAGAGTAGGTAGAAGAAGAGGAGGAGGGGAAAGACAATGACAATAATCATAAGGTTGTGAACCGTATTTGAGGGATTTCTGAGTGCTGGGCTCTGAGCTGTGTGTTCTCTGTAGGGGGTTTGATTTAATTCCATTGGCACAGACTTCCCCAAGACATACATGTCTATTAAAAGGCTATAAAATAGAATACTACTCAGCCATAAAAAATACGAAATTGGAGTCCTTCATAGGAAAATGCATACATATTGAGGTCATACTCTTAAGTGAATTAAATAAGTCACACATGTGTAAGTACTGAAGAGTTTCTCTTGTGTGAAAAACTATAATTGTAAATAAGACCCTAATGCTATAATTGACAATGTGAAATAGGAAGAATAGGGCTAAAGAAAAAAACTGAGAAAATTGAAAAAAGAAATAAACCTTTTTAAATAAGAAGGGAGGAGAGGATGAAGGGAGGCCGGGGTAAGGGGAAAAATAAGAGCCAAGACCTGTCATATAAATGTACAAGATCACAATGATGACTGTAACTGTACTATATACTGCAAGTATCAATAAACTCAATGAAGTAAAAAAAATATGTTTGAGGTTTTATTTAAAAAAGGAGATAAGCATTTTTATATAAATGTTATTGAATTGGTAGGCCAAAAGGAATGAAGCTTGAGTTGGTCACTCTGAATACAGACAGAGCATCCTGTCGGGAGAAACCTGACATGCTGTCCCCTTCACCGCACAGTAAGACATGTCACTTCTCTGTCGCCCTGGAAAGAGAGTTTCTGTTCACTGTGCTCTCTCTCCTTTGAAGGTTTCTTGTAGATGAAGAGGCACAGCAGTGGTTGGCACCTGCTGCAGCCAATATAGGAAGGACAGGGTTAGATCACAGCAAGTGTCTAGAAAGAGGGGACACAGAATGCACCACAATCCTCTCCAACATTACCTTGAAGCTGTCCACATCCTTCTGCATTTCAATAATCATCCTTCTCAATCTCAAAAGGAGGCATAGGCAGGAGTGAATTACATCCCCACTCAGGAATCTGGCCAGGGTTTTAAAGATGCTCCCTCTATGTATCTGCAGTTTAAACACCTGGACGTCTGTTTAAAGCTTTCTGAGGGCTGTGAAACAATTAATAAGATGGGAACTGATGGTCTAAATATTAATTTCATGTTCTGTAATATTTTTGTGATGTGGAACAGAAATGGCTAGTATCTGTGACACTGTGAGTATCTCTGAGGATTAGTGTTGTCCTCCAGGTCAGTTTGGAGAGGACACTACAGACTTGAGGATGGAATCAATTGGTATATCTACTTTCTACTTAATTAATAAATGATAAACATAAAGTAAAGGAAAAATACAATTTCAGCATTGTAATTAATAATACCAATAATCTTCATAACTTTCAACTAAAATATCCTGTTACTCTAACTCCTGTTTTTCTATTTGGCCTTAATGTAAATGTTCGAATATACTTGAAGAGGAATGAGCTAGTTTCACTCATTTCCATTTTATTTGTTATTTTTATTGATACATATTTGATACATAATGATCATATTCCTCATGTGGAGTTAGTACATGTATAACATATCCTAAAACGTGTTCACCCATACACCTCCCAACCTTCATTTCTTTGTATCAACCCCTTTTAGAAAAATCTTATTACCTCAGAGTCTATACATTGTGTAGGTGTATACCTAGATACACAGAGGAATCATTAAAGGTAAAGACTTTTGCTGAACACTAAAAAAGACACAAGTCCAGCACTTGGTATGCTCCCACTGCAGTTTCATCTTTTTTCAGGACTATCTGAAAGATTAGGGGACCAGAAATAAGAGCTCTTTTCTGGCTTTAGCCTGGACAATTGCGTCTTAAAACCTCCTTTAACAGCAGCTACTATACTTGATACTTCAAACTCTGGAGATTACATGAAGGCAGAAAGACAAGTTTATCAAGTGACTTTCATACTTGAGTTGATTCACTTCTCAAGGTCACATAATTCCAGGCTTCTCTGGCTCTGACAATTATTTTCCTTACTAAGCATATCATTTCCATACTGATGGAAGTACTAATTTAAAATGTGAGATCGTGAGGAATATAAGTTCCAGGCACATTTTACATTTCTCACATGTTGTGAAGATGAGCACTATTCTCCATCTCACTGAGCAGCACGACTACAGAGAGGTGGAGAGATTCAGTATATCCTGCATATAGTAGCGCATCAGCAATCTGAAACTAATATTTTGATTTCCTGTCTCCTATTCCAGGGGATTGTCTCCTGTAGTAGAACCAAGTGCAAATATTATTCTCTACAAAACTTGAAATATCTGTGTTGCTAGTCATGCAAGGATTGTTATTAGATATTCATCAGTGATGCATTTTTATTTGTATATTTTAGGTGTACAACAGAGTTGCACTTATCATTGGTATCTTGAACCTTTACATGCTGTACCTTGGTTCTTATATTTTCCTCATTCTCTTGACCACCCTTCACTCTCTGCACCCTTACCTATTTATAAAAACTTTGTTTCCAATATTTTCCTTTTGTGATATTTTTATCTTTCCCTTCTAAACTTTCCCTACCCCTCCCACTTACCCTACACCCTTAGACCTTTTTGTCCTACTACAAAATATCAATTATGCATTTTGATCCTTATCTACACTTTTAGATTATCACAGCAGAGAAACTATACAGTATTTACACTTGTTTTTCTTATTAATTTCAATTAAGAGTCTGGCCTCAATGTGTTTCAGTGATATTTTTGACATAACACATTAACAGCAATCAATTGTATATGATTAGCACAGATTACTTATCAAGGCAATTGATGTATGTGGCTTTTAATTACATGAAACATACATAAACTGATGGAACTCAAGTAAGCATCTCCCATCCCCATATTATCTGAAAATATTGCAGAAGAATTTTGGAAAGACTGTTGTATGTGTTTCAGTGATATTTTTGACATAACACATTAACAGCAATCAATTGTATATGATTAGCACAGATTACTTATCAAGGCAATTGATGTATGTGGCTTTTAATTACATGAAACATACATAAACTGATGGAACTCAAGTAAGCATCTCCCATCCCCATATTATCTGAAAATATTGCAGAAGAATTTTGGAAAGACTGTTGTATAAT